CCGCCAAAACCCCGCCACTCCCATTTAATGTATGGCACGGTCCACAGGCTAGCTCAGACTAGTTGTGGGTCCTACACCCTACCGTTGCCGTGCTTTCTGAGAACACACTTAGCCTTGCATCACCTGTGCCACGCGCCGCTTGCCTCTCTGGTTCGCATACGGTCCAGGTCAACGCCTAATCCGAATTGACTACCGGGCTGTTCGACCGTCGCGGACGACGATGTCCGTCCTGGTCCGATTGCAAGACAGTGAACACCCCGTGTTGTCCCAAACGCAGAATAGTAGAGAACGTCTTACCGGAAAGGCATGACAAACTACTGGAGGGTCGGCGCGCTACCCCTTTCTGTGACAGTTCTTTTATACTCTCTTGAGTTTTATAGTCTCACAAGGGCTGAGTAACTTGCGAAGCCTGGGACACGATGTACCACGGTTGGCAGCATAGATATTAGCTAAAAGTCTGAGTCCACACTTCGCCGATTTTGTGCTGCTGCGTGAGGCAAGGCTCCCCGGGTGATTTCTTGTACCAGTTCCGAATATAAACTTTTTAACTTCCTCAGAAAGTACTGTTTGAACATGGAGTACATTCTTTAACAGAAGCGTTCCGACGCTCGGTTTGAAAAGTTGAGACGAATATTGGAACGGAAATCCATCAGCTTCCGCGGGATAACCGCCCAATATTCACACTACTCCTGGAGGGAGTCAGTAGTATACAGGCGCTGGTCGATTTGGCGTATTCGCGGCATGGTTACCAGCTAAAAGTCCAGACACGTGTTTCGCTGACTTTCGTTCGTAATTGTGCGACACATGTGACCCAAACGACCTTTTTCGTGTAAAAGAGCACCCAAACACTCACTAATTCGGTAAATGCCTTCAAGAATTATCTTAATTCAAAGTTTTTAACGGACAGGTAATTCTGTATCTGTCTTTATAGACGATCGGGGGAAAACACTGAAAATCATGAGGTATTCAGCAATAGTTCAAAGCCGATCTGAAACTCAACGTAATCCAAAACAAACGAAAAGTGTAAATGAATTTGACGGAAGAAAAGTTCTTTCTAAAACACAAAATGGTATATTTACGATCACGCCTGTCAGTTCTCTTTAAATTTATTAGGCACCAATCGGCCTGGCAGCATGTTGCCTTATGAAAACTCTTGTTCCTACGACGTCCCAATCAGTGAAATCAAACAAAATCCCGTTTTTCTTGTTGAACAGCATCGCATTGAACTCAAACAAGTCAGGAATACTACGAATCCCTGGAAAACTGTTTTGGAATCTGTACTCAGAATGCAGGCTGTTGACGAACCGCCATATATGAAAGTACACTAATTCTCAAGCGATATTTAGATGTCAGCTTTACTGAAACACTATTAGGTCAGTATATAGGTCAGTATATTTTAAGAGTAATAGGCAATGCCTTTGAAAACCCTATTGTAAACGGTACATGCAATATCCCACTTTAAATAAACATGGTACTGAAATGTTGTCAGTAATATACACATTTAACAGAATATTTTCCATGAAAATGTAGAACCAAAACTTGAGAACATTCAGCTGTAGATGATTTCAGTAAAATGTAATGACAGTCATCCGCATTAGCGGTATGAGTATGCAAGGCGTTGGTTTAGCACCACAGATCTGTTCTGTCCAGGCAAGCGATAGTGTCCAAGCAAATATGCATCGAGTCTTTGCTTGAACGTCTCCGTTGTATCCGCCATTATTACGTCCTCGGGAAGCCCGTTCCAGGCACCGACGACTCGCTGTGAAAAACAGTATTTGCGAACGTCCAGGCGGCATCGGGATCCTCTAAGTTTTAGAGAGTTCCCACGCAGGTTTGTTGTTGTGGCCAGGGTGAAGAAATCGTCGGGGTTTAGGGCACATTCCCGGTTCCTCAATATCCGATAGGCCTGTATGAGATCTCCTCGAACCTGCCTGTACTCAAGAGGGAAAAGTTTAAGTTCCCTAAGTCGGCAGTTGTAAGGTAAAGTCCTGAGGCCTTTTACAATTTTTGTTGCTCTCCTCTGAACTCTTTCTAGCAACTTATTGTCTTTTTTTAGCCACGGGCGCCACGCTTGGATTCCATATTCCAGATGCGAGCGAATGAACGCTCCGTATACTTTTCCAAGTAACTCTTTGTCTATGTCCACGAAAGATCGTTTAATGGCAAAGAGAACACTAGTTGCTCTTTTGGACGCCCTAACACACTGAGATGAAGGCTTAAGGGTCGACAGAATGTTAATCCCAAGATCTTTTTGTTCGGTTACATTTGAAAGGCACCTTCCACCAAGTTGGTAATGGTGATCCTCTCCGTCAGATCTTCCAGTCGTTTTGAGTCGCAGCGCGACGCACTTCTCTAGGTTAAACTTTAGCAGCCATTTGTCAGACCATTCGCATAGGCGGTTCAGTCCTTCTTGCAGGGCCCGTTCATCATGTTCGCCGTTGATCGCTCGCCATAACTTGATGTCATTAGCAAACATGACTCCATTGCAGTCCAGTCCATTCATACAGTCGTTGACATAAATTAAAAATAGTACTGGTCCGAGTACGGAACCCTGCGGAACTCCACTCACAACTGGCACTGGTGTTGACTTCGCACTACCAATACACACAGACTGTGATCGACCAGTCAGAAAGTCCTTTACCTAATTTAATAGGTTTCCCCTTATCCCTGACTCTCGGACCTTGTAAAGTAACCGGTGGTGTGGAACACTATCAAAGGCTTTCTTGAAATCTATGTAAACGATATCGACCTTTGTTCCTGCGTCTAACGAGCGAGACCACTGTTCCGTTGAATGAAGCATATTAGTTAGGCAGGAGTGATTTCGTCGAAAGCCATGCTGAGAACTAGCAAAGAAATTATTTTCTTCAAGGAACTTCATTATGGATTTTTTGACTATTCTCTCCATGACTTTGCAACAAATGCACGTTAGGCTCACCGGCCGATAATTGTTTGTACTTGTTCTAGATCCACCCTTGTGAATGGGGTATATATTATTAAACGTTATTTTTGTACTTTCATATTTACTACTTTTTTGGCATGAGAATACATTCTGTACATCTAAAAACGAAGTTTACTAAATTACAGCCATTTTTGACGTTTTCGGGATATTGCGCTTTTATAAAAAAATTCGGCATTTCTAAACAACACAACACCGCTTTTTAATTCTTCTAAACTTGCACTTGGTTAACATGGACATTGGATTCATGAAATGATGTCGGTTTAGCTAGTGACTGGCAATCCTTCGTAAATTTCGACACCTTTCATGAGTTAGGTCACCTACTCAGATGAACCCCAACCTTAGGACGAAAGGAGCTGAGATTTGGACGATAGTCAGTGACTGCGTTGCAAAAGCGGATCGCCGCGTGACCACTAATCCGGACGCCCATGTGGACTCTGCTTTTGTCCTGAAGTGACACCGCCCTCACTGGTTTCCATCTTTTAGCACCCATGTACGTTCTGATGGCAGACTACGTGGCGCAGTGGCATCGAAAGCCAGGTGGGGTTGAACGGCTGGCTTCCCGATTTCGCGTCGGGTGACCTCAACTGAACTACGAACAACGCGCCCCCCTGCTATGCGAATGACCAATGTCTGCCAGTTCCTTATTCGCCTAATTTGGTTTGAGCTAAGTTCCTGATGGGCTTGCAAGGCAAAAGGCTGCAATGGGTCCCCCCTCTGTGTCTGCAATAAAGGAATGTAAACTGCGCGCATATGTGTTAAGTATCCAGAATGCTTTTTGACTCATGCAAATTTATCCGTTGAGGTTTTGCAGTAGTAGGTAATAAGGGCCTAAAATGAGTCTCACAAAGTTTTGCTAAATTAAGAACGAAGGATGCCGTTCTTAGTATAGGACAACGACGTCGGCGACTTCAACCCACGATCAGGTAGGATTTATAAATTAGTCAAAATAAGCATTTTTCCCAGATTTATTCAGAACCTTATCTTTCTGGGACAACTTCCAATATGCCCAATTTGTGCTAGCGTCCGCTGGATTTGTTGAGTGCTGAGCAGTATTTTAAGCAGTGTTCACGGACTTAAGTACGCATGCACTTAACCGCGGTCCTCCTACTAATTAGCGGGACAGATCATGATCATTCACCCTACTCTGTCGAAAATCACAACGCCAAATTTTATCATTAATTTTCCGACTCAAGCTATAGAATATTCCCTCAAGAACTTCAAGTCCATCTTGCTTTTGACGCAGTCCACGCGTGTTTTGGAGAAGTTGCCCTAACTCCGAGGCAGCAAAGGCGTCTGGTTTTGCAGGCGGACCTCACGAGTTCTCCTCCTGCAAATGGTTATGAAACGTTTTCCTTTAAGTTCGCCGAAGTCTGCTGTTTCCCCGAAATCTAAACGTTTGGAATGTCTAATCACCCTAGGGAGTTTTTCTTACCCAATTGGAATTCTGGCTAGTGAGGGTGAGACCGTGCGTCCTTGAGACCGCGGTTCAGCTCACACAAATTTCTCTCCGGTGAAAAATGCGCCAATGAGATCCCAGTGCCGATTTGATCCCCTGCCCCACGTGCCACTATAAACCGCAAAGTTTTCCAACTTGCATCACAGCTTTTCTTCGCAGAATGCCGTGCCAGATTTGGGAAAGCACTAAGTCCCCGCAACCAAGGATCGACCACGCGATGCTGACGCTTCCACACTACCGAAGTATCTAAATTAAATGCGCCAGTGTTCATGTCCTTTTGGTCTGGCACAAGTCGTCCCTTTCCACATAAATAAGCCGCCAATAATGCGTTGAGAGGGAGAAAAAGAAGTAGTCCGTTTTTACAATCTATTTAGGAAATCGGACAGCTTAAAGGAGATAAGGACTGTTAGAACAACGACACTCCTGCTGGCATCATTCCAGACTCCTGATTGAAATGCCCGAGAGGGCGGCCGCGTCGGAACGTATTCGGCAGACGCGCTGTTCACTGAACAAAACGCCTGGTATTTCGTACATGACCGCGAAATTTTGCCCAGTTAATCAAGACGAAAGACAAATCCACGCGTCCTAAACGTGGTGAATCCATGCGGATTCGAAGACACGCCCAACTGCATCAGCTAGGTTGTCTAATCGTAGCAGTCGAAGTACATGGTAAAATCTCTCGGGCGTGGCCTTGGGGCCGGTGATTGCAGCAGTGAGGCTTTTTGGGATGGTCTGCGATCTAAGCGCCTCCTTGTCCTCGACGGTTGGAAGTGAGAGCCGCAGATTGGTACGCTGTATGGTCCCTTCAGTTGCCGTCTCTTCGGCCTTCCTCTCGAGCTCGCCCTCGGCTGCGAGTGTTCCGAGGTCGTCAATAGAAGAGGAAGACTTTGAGGAGGACTTCACCGTCAGCGTACTAGAAGAACGATTTTTCAGACGATCGCCGTCCTGGCGTGACTCAGCAAGGACCAGACCAGTCCAGCACTCCAGAGATAGCCGTACACGGCGTTTAAAGTTAAATCCGCCGGGGAATTCCTCCTCAATTTTCTGTGAGATTTCCTCAGTCAGACCCAACCTCTGAGAAACCTGGGGCCAGGTTTCTGGCGTGGCCTCCTTAATAAATATTTCACACATCTGACGGAGAAGATTTTCTAAAGTCAACAGACGGAAAAGGTGAGGTCCATTTAGCGATGATACTCAAAGAACAGTAAGATAAAAATCAAAGTGGTCGATATCAGGCTGCAATCATCGTCTATGTTCTTGAAGATGGCGGTAGAGTTGAGTGTTGATTCCAACAATAATTTTGGTGCACAAGTGGACTGTTTATAAAAATTCCAATAAACCAAGGAGCTGCTATGGTGGAGAGGCGCTCACCGATCACGTTGTCGAACTCACTCGTCCTGTTGTGCCTTGGGGTTCTTTCTCAAGTCTCGTCAGCAGTCGCACAGCGGCAGAATAGGATTTTCTACTATAATTGCTTGTCACAAAGACATTTTGCAGGACCTAAGTAGCACAGGCTTTGCCTATTTATCAGCATCTTTGTTTAGACTAATATTCAATGCAAAGCCGTGCGGAATAAACTAAAAGATGCTCAATTTGGCAAAATTATCGTATCAGCAAGGATCATATGAGACCATATCGAATAGTCCGCTCAACAATTTCTAATTCTGCCATGCATCAGACACTGGAACATAATCCGAAATATCCCAAAAATCACAACTTTTCATTAATCCCGGAGTTTTGTCTTCAGCAATGTTTCAAATAGATTTGCGTTTAGTGGAGACCTCTTGACCGTAGAGTCCTTCCTTCAAAACTTTTAAATCTACCGAAAGTTCCAAAATGTAAACGACGGACTAATGTCGTCGCTCGTGACCTAAGAAAGCATATGTGAAGGATGGCGAACCAATGGTCGGTCTACAGCGATCGTTTCTCAACTCTCCTAAGGTATGTAAAGTTGGATTTAACCGCAACAACACTACTGCTGCCACTCGTCAGCCGTGTAAGCCTAGGTCAAGGTTGATTAACCATGGATCGGTCTACAGAGGTCGCAGCTCAACTGTTGGAGACTATGCTAATCTAAGTGAGAAAGCATGTGGACTTAAGGTCAGATGAAACTGAGGTCGGATGAAACACCAAATCTGTACTTAAGTAGCATGCATTTTTCCCATTGATTTTCGATGATCTTGGAAATTCAAATATATTTTATAGAAACCACAAACAAAAATATGCTTTCTTTTACTCAATCAATAGAGAATCACGTCTTCTTTATATTTTATACTTAAGGAAGGAGTATAATTAGGCTTTAAAAAAGTTTCTAATTATGAGACTTTTTAAGACCGCGATATGTCCATTCACATAGCATCGTACGTGGCCGTTTACCACTGTCCGCATCCATTGCAAAATTTTATGGGCCCTGTATGATATCTCTTTAATGACATAGAAAAATATGGGATTTTCTTTACGCGGAACGCATGCACCTCGTAGAGTGTAATCACTAAGCACTAATGCAACGAATGATCAGGCTCCAAATTATTCGGCAATTAGAAAACTTTTTTAAAACCTAATTATACTCCTTCTTTAAGTATAAAATATAAAGAAGACGTAATTCTCTATTGATTGACTAAAAGAAAGCATATTTTTGTTTGTGGTTTCTATAAAATATATTTTAATTTCCAAGACCATCGAAAATCAATGCGAAAAATGCATGCTACTTAAATAGTCATCTTTTACCGAGCAGGCTTTCTACAGGAGATTGAAAAAAGTGCATTTAAAAGTCCACATCCTGCCGAGTCCAAAATGTTATAAGAGTATGCCATAAGATAATCAGTATCACAACCGCGACCAAGTAATCCTTCATAATCGAAAACGCATTTCAGAATTTCAGCCAACATTTCATGAGATAGGTCACGCACTGTAGGTCTATAACCTACTCAAGTAGATATAGTGGGCATCGTTTCTAAGCAACGGATGTTTGGGTGCCCTCTCCCGATTGCTGCCTGGTCAAATTCGGGAGCGGAATCGTGCATTTCAGCCGCTGCACCCAATCCCCGCAACGGATGACTGGTCGGCTCGGACAGAGGACTGATACCAGGGAATGGAGAGAGAGTGTGAGGTCGACTTCGGGGACTGCGTCCCCGCTGCACCCAGCGAACATTCCTCACTGTAAACAATATATGAAGTGTACTTCTGCACCGCGGCGTGAAATCCTGGTGCACAGGATTCTTCTTCATCTCACAATGGCCGCTCTGGGTTCACGCGGGGACTCACAGAGGGACCTCCAGTTGACACCGGATTTGGCACAGAAAATCTACATTCATATGGCCCCTGAGCTGGGACCGTTGACATCCTCAGACACTCCTCCTCAGCTCTCCTCCTTGTCACCGCCCACTGCTTCAACGGTGGAAAATGCCGGACCCAACAAGGTAGGCCATCTTTATTAATCCCTCTGCTCTTATCAGAGCCATAGAAGCAGTCTTAATTGCCTTACAAGGGGCCAAGCGGGAGGTGCGCTAAACCAACACGGGGCCAGATCAGGCTGTACGCCCATAACGAATGGTGCCACACATGTGGGGAGCGTGGTGGCGCACCCCTAGGCGCAGTCTTACCACGTGCCAGACAACTGCGCAAAATCCCCGCATCAGACGGCCGACCCGCTTGGTCAGCGAACCGGTGCCTGAGAGAGAGAGAGAGAGAGAGAGAGAGAGAGAGAGGAGGGAGAGAGTGAGGTCGACTTTGGGGAGTGCGTCTCTGCGGCACCCAGCGAACATTCCTCACTGTATACAATATGACGCACTTTTGAACTACATGGTGTCGAAGAAGTCGTGGCTTGGAAGACTGCCAACTAGCAGGATAACTCGGTCCTCCCCTCAGGATCGAGAGTCAGGCTGCAATGATTTCTACTTAGCGTAACCTCTACGGCACTTCCACTTGGATGGGATCAAAGCCGCCTCTATATTTTAGGGTAAGGCGATACCATACTAACAGCGCAGGTACTAGCCAAAAGCCCATACCTGCGCAAGTGAGAGACACGTCGTTCAACCCCCGTTGTGTGAAATCCTGGTGTTTGTGTGTATGGGGGGGGGGCAGGTCCTGCATGTGGCGCGCGCTGACAAGGTCACTAGGTACGTCAGCCACCGCGCCCATCCCCCGCACCTGTCAACTGACCGGCTCGGACAGTGACTGGGACCTGGGAATGGGAAGGGAGAGCGGAGTCGACGGCTCAGCGCATTTTCCTCACTATAAACAATCTGACGCGCTTAAAGCTATCACGCTGCGCTAAAAACCGTGGCTTGAAAGGCTGCCAACTGATGGGAAAACTTGGACCTCGCAGTCGACCCGGTGTTGGTGGAGCGGCCGACTGCTGACCTAAGACTCCGGCTGCAATGGTTCCTTCTTAATATGGCTTTTATGACACTCCGTGGAATCCGAGACAGGTGTGACGGCACGCCTAGGTGCGGCCTTGGCCGCGCCACCTTCATTGTTTTTGTTGGTTAAAAAACCTGGCCATTTGCTGTGTGGACCAGGGGGGTATGGGGTGTAACGCCAAGTTGTGGGCTCGACCGTGCCATTCACCTGCGCCCTCTCCTGCCTCCGATCTTCTTGAGTCTTTCTTGACACCGGGCCCAGGTTGAGAGGAGAAGAGGAAGCAGCAGATGCGGCGTAAGTTTAGCTTCACTATAAACTAAATCACGCACAAGCCACTGTCCCTGCTCTCACCTTTCAGCGGAGCACACGGCAGTCATAGTCGGAAACGACGGATGAACTGTCATGTATGTATGTATGTATGTATGCATAACCGTAGTTAAGCAAGTCTGCAGACGCAGTAAGAGGACAAGATGAACAGATGACGGTGGTAGATGGCTCCTTGTCTATGCCAAAATGGTAGCCTTTATAATTCTTTCCGTCCCTCGCTCTAAGAAACGGAGAAGACTAAGGCATCTTTTAAATCTAACGGGTATATAGTGCCCTTTAGCAGGGGAAAATATTTTTTAAATGTATGTTTACCTTTTCTGTCCTAACAGATTGCAGAATCCGATAAGTCATCGTTTTACAGGATGACTCGTTTGCGCTGGTCTAACTGTTAATACGTCCATACAGCCAATTTTCGAATCACAATAAGCTGTGGTCAACATATGGCTCATCCTCAAATTGTCGGTATTACAAAATCAAGACTCGGCGACTAAAATATGACCCTCTCGAAAAACAAAGAATTAATATTATGAATATTGGCCGTTTCTAAATCCAATCCATGATAAAAAGATCCGTAATTTCGTGTGAGTTCAAAAAATAAAATTCCCTCAAAAGACCAAAGATTCAGATCTCCGGGTAAATAAAACTACTTCATTGAAAAAGACTTAAAAGTACGACCGTTCTCCAAGTAATCATTTGATCATATCTAAAACACAAAGCCTTTTAGTAAGAAAGGCTAACCGGTTATTATTTGCAATCAACTGTCGCTTGGTTACTCACAGCAAACCAGCCACGAAAGGGACGGCATATATTACTAGTGGATGACCATCCACTGGGCCGCACACGCTCGGTCCTCTAGTGTTAGACAAATACGCGGATGGACGTAAACAATTTTAGTTTTAGATTTATGAATTTCCTCATTCATAAAATAATAACCTTGTCCATTATATATTAGCAGAACCAACGACACACCATTCTTCGTGCAAACGGTCCACATAGTGGAAATAACAGAAGATCAATGGACGAAAATTGAAGAGCATCTAGCTGCCTGCCAGACTCTGTCTAGATGTACGGAATATTTAGTACCCCTGTCTTTCTGGTGTTAATTCTCATTAGATTAAGCGAACGCCGGTCTGTTCACTTTCCCAGCGTAAGCAAAGATGAAATGGTATAGGAGAGATAGTGAAGAAGTGGTAACATATCAAACCTCAGAGCTGTCAGTTCCTAAAGAATCGCAGATAATGACTGAATGAGAAAGGCTTTAATAAACCATAAAAAGAGATTGTCTCAGTTTACTCCTGATTTTGTCCCTGTTCTAGGCTAGACCGAATACTGTGGCATGATACTAAAATGATATGACATGGTGCACGTAGCTGAAAACACAATTATGCCATTTGAAATTTTGAAAATCTTGTAGTAAAACTAGTATAGGTTAATAAAAGGAATTCAAACACTGAAGGCTTTCCGATGAATTTATCTAGGTGATTCAATTAGCCTGACCTATTAACGATTTACCGGTCCTACCAAATAAATTGGTGATCTAAACCCAAACTTCTGCCAGTGTAGTAGAAAACAACACATAGTTATCTTAGAACGATTATAATAAAAGATGACTTATACTATTTTGTGAGCTATCGTAGAGGCGGAGAGACAGGTCAAACACCCACCTTTAGTTACTTACGCTGAATCTGCCTACCTTATGAAGCATGACTGATAAGATATAGTTAGTGAAAGGTGCTTGAGGAGAAAGCCCCTGATAATTAGGGCAAATGTGAAGACTTATCTGGAAATTCGCCAATTTTATAGGAACCACGGTCCTTGGCATTCACGTTTTAGGTAGTCGGCTTAAACCGCATATCTCGCAATTTTATAACCATCTATACAGTGGTTCAAAAATTAGACTATAACTGCAAGATGAAAAAGTCAAAGAAATGAGTAACGTTTATCTGGAGAGTAAGAAAAAAACAAGAAGGCCGGACGGCGAGAGAACTTACGGGAGTTTTCGGATTCCGCTATGACCCACTTAAAAAGCCCTTCGATGTTAGCATTTCTGATGATTTCTTGAAGGCAGAGGGGAAAATTGTTGTTGCCCAAGTAAAGCAGTTTTAGATGCTTAAAATTTGTTATTCGTTCATCCAGGGAGGACATTTTGTTATGACTTAAATCCAAGTGCGTCAGGGCGTGACAGGAGTAGAGCGTCGAAGGGAGCTTTCGTAGATTATTATCACTCAAATAAAGACGCTTTAAATGACGGAGTCTATCAAAAATATTTGGCAGGAAGTAGAGACCATTCTTCCGCAATGACAAATGAACAAGAAACCTTAATTTGCTTAGTAAGGCGGGGATGACTGGCGGCCGCCTTTGATATACTAATGTTGGGATGTCCTTGAGGGGAACGGAGGAGAGCTTATCGGCCTCAGCCTCAGCTTCGAGAGCCTCATCTACGGTTAAATCCGTTTCGGCAATCGGAGACTCTATTGGTTCATCCAGATACTCCTTTCCAAGTTTGTCAGTTGAGGCGTCCGGCTCAATCATAGCGGTTCTTTCGAACCAACCAGGTGGATCAGGCTCGAGTAAACAGCAAACGCGGCAAGGAAAATCGTAAATCAAAACCCTAAGATGAAGAATGAAACATACGACGACTGGAAAACGTTTAAAATTGTTTCGTGAAATATCGAGATATTTAAGGGACTCAAGTAAGTGAAGGGATCTTGGTAGTGTTGATAAGTTGTTCCCCGAAATATTAAGCGACTGAAGCCTGATTAATTCCCCAAAGCTTTCGGGTAATTCATACAAGTTAACACAGTTAGAAATCGACAAATGTGTCAACGCTGTCAAGTTTCCAAGATCAACAGGTACTGACAAAAGGGGATTTTCGTCGACACTAAGAAAGTTTAAACGACTCTTTTCGCTACATATGGAATTTGGAAGAGAGGTAAAATTGTTTCTGGATAGATCCAGCACACGAAGAGTTTTCAATAGTTTGGAAAAACTCTGCGGAAGACCAACTAATTGGTTGTCTTGGATCTCTAGTGTTACCAATCCTTTAAGTTCCGAGACCCAATCCGGAAGGATCTCGATGCTGTTTCCAGAAAGGAACAGACCAACAAGCTTTTTTAAGGACGAGACATCCATGGGAATATTATTCAATTCGTTCTTTGAGAGGTCCAAAAGTTGCAATTCCGAACAACTCCCGATAGCGTCGGGGATAAACGTAAGAGAACAGCCTGAGAGATCAAGTTCGCGAAGATGTTTTAAACGTGTAAGAAGTGGTTCGGGAAAATATCCAATGGAATTTCCTTGAAGATTTAGATGTCGCAGTTTCTGCAGTGAAGACAATTTACTAGGTATTTGCGAGAACTTATTAAATGACAGACAGAGTACTTCCAGGTCAGTTAGTCTACAAAACTCGGGCGAAATGATTCCAGAAGCTTGATTATAGGAAAAAACAAACTCCTGGAGAGACTCACACCCAAATATTTCCGAGGGCAAAAAATCAAAACGATTACTATCAAGATGAAGTATTTTTAAACATTTGAGCATTCCGAAGTTCTTGGGAAGTTGGGTGATCTGGTTATTCGATGCACGAAGGACTTGCAAATTATAAAGATCCGAAATGTTTAGGGGTAGGGAACTGAGAGAGTTGGCGGAACAGTCGAGACAGAGTAAACACTGTAACGAACAAATCGCAGAGGGTAGGCGGTATATTTTGTTATCGCTCAGATTTAAAACCTGAAGACGATTAAGACCTCCGATTTCGGAAGGAACAGCAGAGCACTTGTTACCCGTCAAATTCAAAACTCGCAGCGCCGTCAGCTGACCAATCTCCGGTGGGATGCCTAAAATGGCATTATTTGACAAATCCAAGTAAGTGAGATTTTCCAAAGATGAAAGATTGGATGGAACTACGTCCATGTCATTCCCAGTGATAACTAACAAGCGAAGGGATTTTATGGGAGAGAGGATTAGAGGGCTGGTTTTCAATGGGCATTTAGTTATAATGATGATTTCATGTTCAGACAGTTCCAGAGCTTTCGCGTTTATTTCATCTCCAGACACATCCTTAAAGGCAAATGCGCGATGACCATTATTGTCGAATTCAAATGAATTTTCAGAAGCAAAGGGGCTACAGTGATTATTATTGTTATGAAACAAATACTCTTACGAAATAAATGTTTTGAAAGCCCTTGATCCCCTGTCCATTTTGAACAGATACCTATCGTTATAGATACGTGTAGGTCACACGGCCTCAGAGTCCACCTTTTTTGCTCAAGTGGTCAAGTAAAACTAAGGTTCAAACAAAGGCCAACGGCTAACCAGAATTGGTAGACTAGATTTTATTTAAAATAGAACGATTTGCGACTTTTTTAGAAATATTTGGGACTGGATCCCTCAGGTGGAGATGACCTAAATGACTCAGCGAGGCCTCACCCTTAAAATGAGTTTACTGATATTTATCCTTCCCATCCTCGAATATTGCTGCCCGTTCTTTAATCAAGTAAACGGGACTGGCTATTTTTAAGTTGAAAATATTAAGAGGCATTTTGCGGGAAGATTCTTAAATACGACACGTCCAAGTACTTTAGTTCAATTCAGTGTATGCGAAGGAATAGGCTTTCGTCGCCTATAAGTCGACAGAATTAGCCATACTGCGAAGAAACCCCAGTGTCACATGAGTGCAAACTTAGTCTCACATAAGAACACCGGCTTTAAGAGAAACATAGTCAGGTCTTGGCTTGCTGCAGGAGCATGTGTCTGTCAAGGCGATGCTTGAGCGACTCTGCAAACTGAGACGTTGCAATCGTCTCGGGAAGGTTATTTTATGGTTCCATTGTATGGTTTGTGCAAAAAACAACTCCTCACATTCAATCTTCCTTGGTACACGCGCACCTTGAAGATAAGTGGCAAGCTGTAAGGAGTCCCCACACTGGAGGGCATAATACAAACCATGCACGATACGGAAAGCCCGCACCAAGTCCCCGCGCACTTGTCCATAATCCGGACGATAGAGATTTAGTCCACTTCGACAGGTTCCGTAGGACAGGGTTCCCTGACCTCTTACAAATTTTGTGGCTGGCCTTTACACTTTTCGAGTAAGTTATAATCCTCCTCGGATCAGGGTTTCCAAGCTTGAATCGCATACTCAAGATGCGACCTTAGAACCACATCAAAGACACTGGAGAATTACTTGTCGTCGAAAACTCAGAATGCTCGCTTGATTGAGTTCGGCATTGACGCTGCGGCCTCAGCCGCCTTACAACAGTGCGTAGACGGCTTTGCATAGTAGATGTGCCTATGAAGGACCTAACTTCGGCCTCCGAGGAGAAACATAACGCATTTGTTTCAAATGAGCTATAGGGGTCACCTTCTGGACCACTTCTGCAGTCGACAAATGTTTTCTTGGAAGCTCGCCTCGTTGGCGGCACTGCAGAGGACTATGCAGATTTATATGTTATCCACAAACACGGCACATTGACAGGAAAATTCTTGCACACAATTAATAATAAACAAGAGAAAGAATGTCGGTCCCAGCCCTGAAACTTGTGGAACTCGACTCTATATGACTGCCCGCCTTGATTGCGGCCGCACTACGAAGACAACTTAGGAAGTACCGATGAGGAAATTCTCGAACCATTTAGGAATTTTGTCTCTGGTGCCCTACATTAATAGATGCCAACTTATTAGGCTAAATGTCCTATGGGTCCAGAAACTAGAAGTCAGCTTTTGTCTTATTCGCCCCATTAAGTTTAACTCGAGCCTTCCTTGGATTTCAGCCTATGCGCGTGTTAGTCGCACAATATTCGTAAGTATTCCTAACTATGCTTCCCCCGTCTTGCTTCTAGGTGTAAACTTTTCTGAAACAACCTGCCAATCAACATTAGTTTGTCAAACAGTCTATATGCTCTACAGAAAGATTGAGTCTTTATCTTAACAATGGCTTGCCAACCTTATATTTCTCTCATCCTTCCAGAGAAACTTCCCCAATGACTTTGGGAAAGAACCATTAACCAGTTAGGAAACCGCCGCCAAATTACCTTATCCGTTCACACCTCCCTTTCGGCGTGTGGTTTTGCTTTCCACAATTCCCCATCAGAAATCGCGATTTCTTTTAATATGTGCATCGTGTACCTCACAATACGCGATGTCCTCCCTAAGCCACCTCTCTGAGAAGTAGTCGGAATCATATTGACGTGCACGATCTAGACAGCCTCCACTTTGCTTGCCGCTAATTCTCATCAGAATTCCAGTCTGGCAAATGGAATGTAGAAGCCGCAATCCAATTGGCGGTCCCACGCCGGATCTGCCACTTTCTAGCACCTCCAGGCGCACAACAGTGATGCTCCGTTTTTGCATAGTGATATGTCTTTACAGTTTTATCCTACCTCCAAGAAGAACATACCCTGCCCCTCCATATACCTTTCGCGAAGAAGTTTCTTTCTCTTGGATATTGTCTTGGAAACGAGGATTCCCTGAACTGTCTCATCCGTTGCTCACAATTTTTCTAGGAAATTTCAAATCCTATTATTATTATTATCGTTAAATGTGCCGCGTGTGAAACGAGAAATCTTATCTTTGATCAGTGTCTCTAAGATTTTTGAAACAGCCGGGATGGTGTTTATTGGCCGCAAATAATCAAATAACGTAGATTGACGATGCTTGGGAGTAGGCAAAATGTGTGATTCCTTTCACAAAGTAGGATAGGTTTGAGTTTCAAGAACAAGATTAAATATCTTGCACAAGAGGGATGGGAGGTCAACTTTGGGGCTTCAACGCACATCATTTTTATCTCCTTTAAGAAAATCTGTGATCTATGTCAGTGGCTTTCCCCTATTCCAAGTCCAGACGGTTTGTAGATCAAGAGTTTGTGTGGGACGCTATAGAACGCCTTTCCGAAATAAGCAAAGATTACAGCGACCCCACATCCTCATCCATTGCGTGAGTTCACTGCTCAGTCACGAGCGATAATCTGGAAAGTCATGGGCGGTTCTGTCTTAAGTCGTGCTGAAGCCTTTTGAGCGAGTGGTTGTACTCAAGAAACTCCATCGTTACTTTCTTAAAGGTGGTTATCATTATTTTACGGCAAACGCAGGTGAGACTGACGGGTCGATAATTGTCAACATCAATTGTGGCACCATCATCTTTTATCGGGTAAACATTCGCTGTCTTCCATTCTGATGATAGTCTTCCTAATTTGAATTTCGATTGCAAAATGGACGTTAGTGATAAAGAGAGTTTGTTCGCAAATTCTCGCAAGAATTCGGCCGCATATTTTCCGGACTAGACGACATTGCTCCCTTGAGATTCTACAAGTCTCCTACCTCAACAGATGCCGGGATGGGTGTGGATTCAAGCACAGGACCGGCGGTTGCAATACCATTACTGAAACAGTGATTCCGAAACTCCGGTTCTCTATTAGATATTGAGACAAAGAACTATCCATGTGTTCGGCTTTCTTTCCGTTTTCAACAAGATCTACATCATAATCACCCTTCAGCATTGAGACTAGATACTTATTTTTCCATCGGCAGTTAATA